TAATCGTCATAAACAGTTCCCACACTCCGGACTGCTCGCCTTTACTAATTCCTTCATCACTTCCTACGTCACGGACCTGTTTCCTTCCCTTCCCATAGCATTTTAGGATTGCAAATACCTTAATCTAATCGTCATAAACAGTTCCCACACTCCGGATGGCTCACCTAGACTACTTCCTTCACCACTTTCTATGTCGCGGACCTGTTTTCCTCCCTTTCCATAGCATTTTAGGATTGCAAATACCTTAATCTAATCGCCATAAACAGTTCCCTGACTCCGGACAGTTGCCTTGACTACTTCCTTCACCACTTCCTACGTCGCGGACATGTTTCCCTCCCTTCCCATAGCATTTTATAATTGCCCATACCCTTATCTAATCGTCATAAACAGTTCCCACACTCCGGACAGCTCGCCTTGACTACTTCCTTCGTCGCGGACCTGTTTCCCTCCCTTCACATAGCATTTAAGGATTGCCCATACCCTTATCTAATCGTCATAATCAGTTTCCACACTCCAGACAGCTCGCCTTGACTACTTCCTTCACCACTTCCTATGTCACGGACCTATTTTTCCTTCCTTTCCATATCATTTTAAGATTGCAGACACCTTAATCTAATCGTCATAAACAGTTCCCACACTCCGGACTACTCGCCTTGACTACTTCCTTCACCACTTCCTACGTCGCGGACCTGTTTTCCTTCCTTCCCATAGCATTTTAGGATTGCAAATACCCTAATCTTATCGTCATAAACATTCCCCACACTCCGGACTGCTCGCCTACACTACTTCCTTCATCACTTCCTACGTCACAGACCTGTTTCCTTCCCTTCCCATTGTATTTTAGGATTGCAGATACCTTAATCTAATCTAATCGTCATAAACAGATTCCCAGACTTCGCACTGCTGCCCTTGACTACAATGTATCGTGTAATCTTCAGTATAATCTTTGCTAAATATTAACAAGTGATGTTTTTCCTTTTGTACTGTATTTGTTATTTGCTAGTATACTGTGGGTAGTTGGCTTATTATGAACACATACTACAACTTCAAGTCTTTTGTTTACTTTATCCTTGTTATTTAATTCATCCAACATGGTTACCTAGCAACCCATAAGACTAATGTTAAAAAAATGTGATTTTCAGTTTCATTTTTCTACGTAATTAGATTTTTGTTGGCAGTTCTGACTGCAGTAAACTTGTTTTTAGGCCAGAAATAAACTATTTACAACATTTGAAGAAAATCGTCGGAGCCGTTTTCGAGATCTTTCTGCAAGCAAGCAAGCAAGCATACATACAAGCAAACATTGCTCGTATTAGAGTATAGGATAGGATAGACTAAGTAAAACCTAACAATGCTTCCCTTTTGTTGTAGGTATCAATCTCTTCAACTCGCTACCAGATCAAGTGAAATCTCTTCCAAATTCCAAATTTAAAATTATCCTGAAGAAGTGGCCATTGGCAAATCCTTTATATAAAATCATCGAAAATTTTTATGTAGCAATGAAGTATGGCACATTTGTTGTACCCTAGAATAGGAATCTGGAAGGTATATTATTTATTTATTTGCTTGCTTGTTCACCTGCATGGTTTTGCTGAATTATTTTGTAGTCTTTAGCTTTAGTTTTTTATTGCAGCTTTCTGTACTTGTTGCTTACTGTAGCTTTCTGTGTGTTTTTTGACAATGCCTATTGTATTTATTGTATACGAATGGCTAATAAAATCATTCATCATTTATTAACATTTTTGGTCTCATTCGGTATCACGAAGTTTGCCGGCTTGTGCTTCCGTACAAAACCGGTCTGATAGAAACTTGAGATAGCACATTGATATAGTTTTGTATTCTACGATAGTGTGTACAGAATGGGGAATGGGTGACTTGTAATTCAAAAGTTAGAAAGGTGATTCATATTTTAAGCTGTGAAGAAATTGAAAACGTAGGTCCAGGTTGGATGTTTCGATCGGGTAAGTGATATTTACCGGCCTGTACTTCCGTCCGTACACCGGCCTTGTTGAAGTTTGAGATTGCAAATTGGTAATGTTTTGTATACTACAATAGTGTGTATACAGAATGGGAGACCTGTATTTCAAAAGTTAAATAGGTTATATAGTAAAGTTGAAGACAAATTCGAGAACGCAGGTCCAGGCAGAATTACGATCGGGTACGTGAAGTTAGCCGGCCTGTACTTTCGTACACCGGCCTCATATAGACTCTTGAAATTGCAAATTAGTATTGTTTTGTATACTACAATAGTGTATTCAGAATGGGAGACGTGTATTTCTATAGTTAGATAGGTTAAGGTTATCTATATTGTAAGTTATGAATAAATTTGAAACTTAGGTCAAGGTCGTATGTCATGATCGGGTATGTGAAGTTTGCCGACCTCTACTTCCATACGACGGCCTCGTGGAAGTTTGAGATTACAAATAATTGGTATTGTTTTGTATACTATAATAATGTATGAAAAATGGGAGACCTGTATATTTTTAAAATTAGATAGGTGATCCATATGGTAAGTTGTAGAGACTTTCGATAACGTTGGTCCAGGCAGGATATCACGGTCGGTAGCACAGGTCTGATAGAAACTTGAGATTGCATATTGATATAGTTTTGTATACTACACTAGTGTGTATACAGAATGGGAGACCTGTATTTCAAAAGCTGGATAGGTTATATAGTAAGTTGAAGACAAATTCGAGAACGCAGGTCCAGGCAGGTCATTACGATCGGGTACGTGAAGTTGAGAGTATACAGAATGGTAGACTTGTAATTCAAAAGTTAGATTGGTGATCCATATTTTAAGTTGTGAAGAAATTGAAAACGTAGGTTCAGGTCGGATGTTACGATCGGGTACGTGATATTTGCCGGCCTGTACTTCCGTCCGTACACCGGCCTCGTGGAAGTTTGAGATTGCAAATCGGTACTGTTTTGTATACTTCCCCCGTAAAATTGGGTAAAGCTCTAAAATTGAAAGTTAATCATTATGATTTCGCTTATTGAATTCTACATATTGAAAAGACATTCGATTATATAACAACAATTATTAAACTCATTTAACTTTGGCTCATCGTTAATGTATAGCATACTATTTCATCCTGGATTGTTGCAATGATACTCAAAAGTTACAAAAAAGTGTTTCAAACTTTTTAAATTTTGATCTAAACTAATTTATTTCAAAAACCTAATGAAGAATTTAAATAGAGAAGTTACAATATTTAAATTTCATTTTCACAACTTTACTCATATTTCATACACTGTTATCATAAGACAATGACACTAAACGAGGGTGCCAATTCCAAATAAAATGTATTTGGGTCCAGTATGGAGGAACTTATTACGGTCCTGGTGTGGGGTGAAAAACAGGACTGTGGTTCAGGATCCCGTTTCCAGTAACTTGATCCCAGTCTTTTTTACTATACGATTTATAGTTAAACCGTTTTTTTTTAAATATAGATCTTGTTTGTGCTTACCACCAGATCCCTGTAGCTCCTGATGACGTTCATAAGACTATGCTGCCTTTTCAAATTCCTTTTCATGTCTTTTGGATTATGCAATGCTGCCCAAACCTTAAGTTTCATTGATAGGGTTGTTGTGATATCAGCAATCTATCGATAACGATTCCAGCCTCTAATATCGATATCGATAATATCGGATCCAAATATCGATATCTTTAGTATCGAATATCGATATTACTTTGGAGGAATCTACTTTTTAATGACTTGCTTGAGCTTGTTTAGGATTTTTGATTAGGCGTTCCGTCAGGAAATCTTTTTTGGCAGATATGTTACTTTCACTTTAGTACCTGTTGATTGTTATTACTTTTTATTTATAAGCACCAAAGAGGAAGTGAAATTTGAAATTTTCAGACAGCGCAACCAACACTCCAGCAATAAAAATCAGTTGCTACTAACTTAGTTCCTTCTACCACAAAAAATATAACCAGCTATTCCCATTAGTGTGGATTTTATCTTGTACATAACTTAACTCGATAAGAAGGTATGCACGGCCACCTTTAACTACAGGCCGCGGCCTGGTAGAATTGGCAACTTCGCAAGTGGTGTTGTTTAGTGACAGATGTCCCATAAGATAACATGACTGACAGGTGACATCAGCTCATTAATTCACACTCTATTGATTTAAATTTAAATTTATGAACATAAATTTATTAAAATATTGAAAATAAAACATACAGAATGGAAAACCGAAACAATATGAATTAAAAGTCTAGATATGTACATTTTAAGAGGAGTTAATATTGTCATAGTCCAGTAACCAATCTTTCACAAATACACTAATACCATTAGCTGCTTCCAAACAAAACAGCTGTTACAACACCACTTGCGACGTTGCCACTTCGAAGGCTGCGGCCTGGAGTTAAAGGCGGCCGAGGTATGTCGATATCACTCACTAAAACTTTTTCAAAACTTAGAAAATTCAATAGCGAGAACCAATATCAACAAAATTCTTCCGATATCACGATATTATCGAAACCCCAATATCGATACAATATTGGAAATATTGAAACGAAAATATCGTTATGCATTGATATCGATAATATCGCAATATCCCTATTCGTTGATGGTGTACTCAGTGGACTAGACTTCTGCTACGCTTACATTGATGACATCTCGTAGCTTCAGAATCCAAAGAACTACACCTCATTCACTTACGACAATTGTTTAAATTGTTTGCCGGAACGGACGCCCTGAGAAATCGGCTTTTTTCTCTTCGAAGGATTGTTGACCAAGACAGAGGACAAGAGTAGGAAGGTGTGAGCGTTGATGCAGTCGCGGCAGGCTAGGAGTTGGCTTCGCGAAATCCACACACTATATATAAAATATAGCGTGCCGCTATGCGTCCCACCGCCTATCTTCTTTCGGAGTCTTTGCCAACCCAAGTAAGTGCAACCTAGGAGTTGCCATTGTTAGTTTTCAATATCATGTAGCGTATCAATATAGCATATACATAGATATTGGAAAAAAATAGAAAAAAAGGTTGTTCCAATGTAATAACGTTTATTTATCTTTTACAAGTTAATCAGAACCGTGGATTATCTTTCATAGATTACTTTACAATATACACTTCATGAGGTAAACGTAATACTATCAAAATCTGATAACTTTTTTAATTTTCAGATTATTTTAGACATTCAAACAGTTAATTATAATAAAGACAGATATATATTGGTAACTCAACAATGTTTGCTTGATGTGACTAAATAATTCATAAATATATATATATAGTGATGTAACAAACTGGTGATGTAAATTATTCTTAGTTGGTAAATATCCCTTAAATCACTACATGTACTATCCGGCAATATTACTACTGCTAAATGTATTGGTCTTTTAGTAATTATCTTACAACTTAACATATATGTACAGATAGAGTCTAACTAGAACGCTAGACTAGATTATTCTCAGTAACATTGCATCTTTGAATATACACGAAATAAACTCTTTTTGGCACTTTGTCGGTTAATGTGTTTACATACATAGTTTACAAAACATTTACAAAATTTGATTAGAGGAATTTCTTATGTAATGAATATGGTAATTATCTTTAAAATATTCCCATTTGTTGTACAATTAAATATGAGAAATATCATTTATACGCTTTGGTTCAGTTACACAATCCAAACACTGCAGGGTAAAGAGGTAAGTTTTTCTAAGTATACCAAGAAAAATACCAATGATGTTCTGGCTCCCCCCCTTTATTTAAGTTACTAATTGTTTTGTTAAATTTCTTTGAGAAATGTCATAAAATGTGAATGGATTCTCATTTAAGTATCATTACTTTGACTTGTTCAAGAAAAGGTTATTTCAATTGAATACTTTGAGATATTAAATTATTTACTTTATAATTGGTCCCTTAAATAATATAGCTTCATATCACAATTATCAGTATCAAAGTTGATTTAGAGACTATCTCATTCTACATTTCCTGTTTGTAATTTTACAACTACTTTATTCAAAATATTGTGTTAATGAACTGACTACAAAGTTATATTCAACTTGTTATTTTGTAAACATAATTTAGTATCCAAATTACACTACCAAATTAAAATAGTTTAACTGAAACTAAACAATTCCTTAGTTTTTGCAAATTAATCACAAATACTTCTAACTAACTTACCTTCCTACGCTTTTCACTGGTGTACAAAACTATACGGTCCTATTTCTACATCGGTATAAGATTACAATTACATTTTCACAATGAAAAATATAAGTAGGCATCATTGATGGTGCTTTTAGTACCGTATGTATTTTTCAAACTGGAAAGACAGTTAAAAAATCACAATTTCTCCATTTAGGGAAATGTTTGTATATTACATTATAAAAGATTTAGTAAATATAAAAATTCAACATATAAAAATATTTTGATTAGGAAGTCTACAGTAAATACATTAGCAACAAATACCTAAATACGTCTATACAAAAATAGAATTACAGTGGTGGTTGACAGGGCTTTGTAAAAGCCGAGGGCCTATATCAGACTTTGCTCTCGGGCCCTTCTGCCGAATGTTTGAAGGAACTGCGTATCCGGGCAAGATGAATTGCACAGAGGTGGCCATAGCTCTTGTTGTACCACTCGGGTGTTCTTCCCCTGGAAAAAAGAGTTTGTCTATCAACATATGTGTGTAATCATCTAAATCGAAGCAAATAGAGTGTCTGCTGATGGAAACCGAAAGACAAAAAGATCCAATTGTTTGAACCTAAGCCCTAAAGACAAACTACATCTTTAACGATTTTCTGAGAAGGTATATATCTAACACTGTGAGATAATTTATGGCGTTTCTTGGTTTATTTTTTTGTTTACCCCACACAAACAAAAACTTTTGTTTTTTGACTAACCAGTGCTCGATTTGTAAAAAAATGAGGGGTTGGAACCGTAATCTATTTAATATGATTTGTACTTATTTATGTACATATCTAACACCAACCTATAACTTGGTGGCTTCATTAAATGATTGCCCAATGAAAAAAGAAATATAGGTTTAGAATCGACATTGGTTGAGATCGACCAGCAACCCACAGATTTTATTTTATTTTATTTACATTCCAACGGCAAAGACCATTACAAAAATGATTACGATACTTAAATCTTAAATTAATAATTAAATATGCATTTATATAATTCAATAAATAGATATTAACAGGAAAACAGATAAATATATAAATAAACATTTTAAGAGATTAACAAGACAAGAAACACAACTCAATTTACATGCACATTGATTAATAAATATTCTAACCTATCTATATACAAAAATAGAATCAATAGAATCAATAGAATTAAGTTAATTTTAATTGGCTATTCAGATAACTTATCCAGACAAACCCACAGAGGCAATTCTGCTTTCCTCATAAGATAACCTTGTGCTGTGTAAACTTACAGTGCATTACAAGAAGTTTAAATTCAATATTAATGTTACAAAATCGTTTATCACCTTTTACTTGATGAAATTGCAATTTAAAAATCAATATCTATATCTATATGATCTATCTATAGATCATCTCCGACCATTTAAAATTTTTCCGATACATTACTTGCTAAGCTACGGGGTCAGCACTCAAAACTTTGCAAAAGATATATGGTATTTCTCTTTATTGTGTCTGGGCCAACTCTATCACAGATGGAGACTTACTTGGTGTCGACCCTGGATAGGTGCATGATGCGAGACCGACCGCTGCCGCAAGGCTCTATGAGGTACCTGGAGGCCAACACGATCCCTCGGACGCCACCAGCCAACACGGCGCCTTCACTGTGCTCCACCGACGTCTCCACAATCACACACGCTCCCTTGCCCATCTCTGTCCTCCACGACCTGTTCACAACATCAGTCAAGAGTTGAGGACACAGCTAAGGTGTATTTTTACCCAATCAATAGAAGATGAGAGTGAGACTACTTGTGTAGCTTTACTACGATAGGGTTTTTGTTAGCAAGGACCATTTATCAAACAAAACACAAATCATTGACATCAGGGTCTAGTTGATCCATAAAAACCCGAATGACTTAAAATGGAATTGAAAAGTTACCTTCAGATTGTTATACAAGCACTAGGTTGTTATGCAAGCAGTACCTATACGCAATCAGGGTGTAATGTAGATTGATTAAGATCTTTTTATTTGGGGGATGATCCAGAAATTTGTATATGGGAGATTATAAACATGGATCAATTCGATTTTTTAGTATCGACTTTTTTATGCTCCACTCCTAACACAGCTGCCTCGCCCCTGCTTAAAGGTTTAACTTAACAGAATGTTCTCATAATTTTAGACTCAGCCTATTTAAATTTTACGTTATAGAGTCACTTCTAAGCCCATGTTCAACTAGAGGTTGTAAACATCATTCCTTGAGTTTATCTCTGAAAAATTTTAGCCAAAACTTGTGCTAACAAGTTAATGTATTTTGCTGCTGCTTTAGATATAGGAAATCGATGGTAGATACTAATTGGACAGAATATATGATTCACACCAACCCCCTTTAATCTTTCCCAACAAAATCTTTCAGAATAGTCATAGCTTTCATAGTACCTGAGGACGCAGTAGTCCTTGGCAGGTAGAGGAGCCATGCTGGAAGTGACGTACTGGAACACCTCTGCCTGGGGCTCCAGTCTGGCCACCACTCTCCACTTGAGCAGTGACGTGTCCCACAGATGTCTCTCCCTCAACACTCTGTGTAGTAGCTCCGTGGGCGGAGCCTCCACCTAGACAAAATTAACTGGTTTTGAAGCAGTTCATTTGCATGTAATTTTAGCTTGGCAATTACACATTACAATCCCAGTAAAAAGTAGGAAGTGTCTGCTTACTCAGTACTGTTGAGTGATCATGTTTCCCCGTCAGGTTAACTAAAGGTTTATTTTTAAGCGTATTTCCAAGTAAAAAAAAATCCTCCTCATCACTGGAGTGATGAAGAGCTGTTGTAATAAACATATAGACAAATAAAAAAATACCATAACATTAAATAGACATTGTTTGAATTATATTATTGAAAATGATAATGACTTTTAGGTTTGAAACAAGTGGTCGATTAACGAAATACCAGGACTTAAAAGTATTCTAGTGCACATATTTTTTATCTATTTTTATAAGAATGATACAGTGAAGAAAAAATGTACAAATAAATTACCTACTTAATCTCATAGATATATTTCAGTAAACTATGATTATAGCCATACAATTGTTTGGATAGCAACAACCTCTTGGATGGGAATCCGAGGCATAATAAGAATGTTTGAGTGTAGAAGAGAGTGAGAGGCCTCAACAGGAACACATCATAATCTACTTGACGTAAACTATTTTGTGTTTGACCTACCTCTGTACTGGCCCTCCATAGCCTAAGTGGATGACCATCCCCGACTTTCTTGTAGGCCATGTCAACCTCATTCCACGCTGATATGCTAACCCATCCTCTGCTCCTGAAAGATAAAATAAACTATGTGATACAATCTTGTTATTTGAAAAAGAAAATATAAAAACTGTGATTGTAAAGAAGTATTTATGTACAGAATGTTTCAACGTTTTACAATTGATCACTGAAACGCTTATAGTTCTTCTAGCAGCTTTGTGAGTCAGACTGTGCATATTCGCCTGGAGACCCATGCTATCAATGTGCTATCAATGTTATCAATAAACTGTAGGTCCCTTAGTTGCCATTAGCTGTATGGGCTATTAATTACAGCTGTGTCTAAGGAATATGTCGGCCTTAGTCACTAACAAGACTACAAGAACGCGCCACTCATCCTACACTCATACTTCACTCATATTTGGGTTAAAATATGCACATACTGGCGTCCCCATCATAAATAATTGATTGATTGATTGCTTTCCATGTATTTTGAATGTGACAATTCTTCACCAGTAGACTTAGCCCAAGGAATCATTTTTGAACAAGTGTAAGTTGTTGCTTACTAGGAAGCTGGTTCTTTAGCCATGCCTATTATTGCCACATGAAAGCTGAGCCCACTTTAGAACAACACAAAACAACTCACTTTTCTCCGGATCAAAATACTGACAACTACTAGGCTTCTCATCATTCAATGTACATACTTGTCCCTGGCCTCCTTGAGCAGTGCCGTGGTACAGGCGTACAGGTAACCTCTCCAGTCCTGTTGTAACTCTGCCCCCAGCTCCTCTAGAGCGACTGGCACACTCTCCTCCATGTAGCTGAAGTGACACTGGGACAACATCTCCTCACTGACCTGCACCACCAAGTGACCAATTTGTATCTGAATCATACAGTATTCTTTCAACTGATTGGAAGCTATGAAACAGTAATGCAACGATTGCAATTATAAATCAATAGTAAATTGACAAATAATTGTGAGTAAGTGTTAAAACCCACATAATGTTTGTAATGAGACAAGACAGTAGGTACTTATCTGGGAGACACACACAAACATTATCATACAAACTTTTTAAAAAATCACTAATTCTTATACCTACTAGTACATACTAAATCATTTCAACTGATGATTTCCATAATTTTAATAAGAAACTAGAGGACCCACGCTGCTCTGCAGTATTAAAATAAATATCATATCCGAGAAATAATAACATTTTTGATTTTCGATTGAGTAATACAGTATCTTGAACTTAACTATTTCAAATGATCAATAGCTCAAATTAAAGCCTACAACTTAATGATTATTTTGAGTCCAAAAGAGTAAAAAAACATAACCAATACTGGAGCTATCTATGATTTTTAATCATTGAAAAACCTTATAAAAAAAATTTCGTGTTGGTTGTTCACTTTGGGTTTACTTGAAACTCGTCCGATTTGAATAACTAATAGCTTAAATAATGAAAGCCATTTTGTCACTGAAGGTTCTTAGACCAAAATATATAGGATCATATATTTATAACCGGTGAAATACATCTTAAATTGAAGTAAGAGTTCAAAAATAAATCAAACATATGTTTTTTGGTCGAGTAATACAGTAAATGAATGTTAGCCGATGCTTGATGTGAAATCTGTGCGTGCATACCTTCAATTTGAGACCTCAATCATGAAAATCGGTCAGGTATAAGAGCCAAACGAACTCCGAAAAGAAAAACCCAATTTTTTATTTACAAGATTATCTTAGATAGAGGTATTAAATTGCTTTACAACAGAATTGTAATTAATTTGTTAAAAAGCTTAGCTGCAAGTAACACAACTAGCACAAAGAAGCTCACCATTGTTTTAAGGTAACTGAACGATTCGCTCAATAAACAGAAAGTCCAACAGAAATGAATAACAATGAATAAATTTATTATTTTCTATCTAAAAATTACGGTAAATCAGGATTGTATCCAATAATTACCGAGAACAGTTCGCGGTGTTGTTTAATCAAGGTGAGTAAACAGTCGTGTGCCGCCTTGTTCTGTCCAAGCTCCTTGGCGTCGGGCACGCCGGTGCTCTTGTTCCTGCGCCTGGGAGACACAGAGCTCGACCTGGACGGTGTCGGCTGCCAGTGGAACAGTGATGGTGCTAGACAGACGGCTAGGTTGCTTGCTGTCATCTGGTTAGTGCTAGAGTGCATTGAAACTTGGTACAGGAAGTCCAGAAGAGTCAGAAGAGCCTCACGGTGCTCGTCTGGTAACAGCAGCAACGCACATTGTACCGCCTCAGTGCGCAGATTGACAGGCACATCTGTGAATATAGAGCTCTTTGACTATTTTGCATGGTTTATAAAGACCCATTAATTATTTCCTGAGTTGCAGGAATACTTATATATCCATATTAGAAAGAATATCATGGAGAGAATAAAACAAGTCTTGTTATCAAATTTAACTTTTTCTTAGCAAGGTTTACACAATCAAATAATCATAAGTACAAGGTGTGGCTATAAAATAACAAGAATGGTTTTCTAAGAGACAAACTGTGAACCTGAAGGCCAAACATCATATTGCTTTGTCATCTGACATCCCCGCTCCACATTCAGGCCCGTTTAGGACCTTAGGCTGTTTAGTTTGGACAGAGCATTTGTTAGAATCAAATTGTGTATTTTTTGCTCATTGCAAAAATAAAGGGTGTTATAAATGTCAAACTTGTAACATGATTTTTTTGTGTAGATTTTACATCAGACAGGTTTGAATGTAAGCACTATAACACATAGGCTACTCAGAAAATCATATTATATTTCTTTTCTTCTCGACACTTGCCTGAGATAAAATTATTAAACTGTTAAAAATTATCATGCAAATTTGTGCTCCTCTGAAACAAACTTACGCTGGAAGATAGCCACAAATGTCTCTGACAGTTTATTGGTCAGCAAGACCTCCGGTAGTTCCCTGAAGTACTGCTTGACCATGTCAGCGACATCGTAAGCCTGCTGTCCCTCGAAGGAAAGGTCGTCCGTGTGAGTCTCTGCAAGGTTCTTCAGCCTCTGTATCCGAGAGCGGACGCCGGGTTTGCGGAAGAGTCCGACCTGGTCCACAGCCTGTGTCCTCAACCAAGTGAGAGCTGCTTGTATACACACTGGAAGGGCTTGACCACTCCTCTGTAGTGACACCACCAGAGGCACTCCAAACACTGTCTTGTCTGTTGATAGAAAGGAGCGCATTGAATAGTAATCGTACTCTGTAGTTTTTAAAATTAATTGTAGTTAACAAAAAGTCAAAAAATGTATTTATTTCTTTCATCAAAAATCTATTGTCTTTCCATAAGTAATCACAAGGTATTGGCCGTTTATTATATATTCACTCAGCGGTTAGCATATAACATAGGCCTTTGTATTCTTTTCTAATTTACTAATCAATTGCGTTCCTCCAAATCATATTAATCTTATTATCTTATTATAGGTAATAAGATAATATTAAGGTATTATTAATATTAAATAGGTATTGTTATCTTATTATCTTATTATAAAATAGTAAAAATATTCTCTTTATGTTGTCTTCCGCAGTAGCATTTTTGAGAGAAATAAATTTTATGAGAAATTGCTTAAAACATCAATAACAAACATCGTTTTGAAATATAACAGGGTTGAACACATCAAGATCCAATAGCAGGTTTACCAGAACGGGATGGAATTCTTTCTGGCACAAAAAGCACAACAACTTTACATTACACACAAAAAAAAATAATTTTACTTGCACTGACAACATTACCAAGGCCTAAAAATTCCAAAAATTCAATTTTTTGTGTTCAGCCTAAAGTTGATGAGTTTCTTGTGCCAGGATGAACTTAATTCCCACCTAACTAAACAGAGCCTGGCTGGGATGGAAGATGGCAGCATTAGTGAATTTAATAGGGATTGTACGCCTGTTTTGCTAACTTTTACCTAGTATAAAGAGGAGGACAACGATTGATCTTTTTCCTCTTTTAGTAAATATGGACATAGTTTTGATGAAATGAAAAATATAAAAAAAAACAAAATTCATAAAAGTGTTAGACTTATATAGAGTTTGTTTAAATCCCGGAGTTTAAAGGGGCATTAGCATTTTCAAGAACATTTAGTTTTGAATCATACAAGTAAGTCTGTAGAAAATATTAAACTATCAATAGTTTTCAGACAAGTAACACTCAGCCCACGCACTCTTACAGAAATCCATTCAAAACATTTGAACCCATTTCACAACGTATAACAAAACCAACACAAACAACTCACCTTTGTAGTCCGGTGTTTTGATTTTCCTGATGAACTTGGGCAGTTCCCAGTTCCAGCCTGTGCGATGTGTCGGGCAGTATCTCTCCATGATGGCAGTCAGCTTCAGCAGGGCTAGCTTCCTCAGCACTAACAGCTGACCACAAGACATGGAGCTGATACATCGGCCAGCCAGGGAGTCTGGACGCACACTGCCTCTCTGGAAACTGTGCCATCGGACGACGCTGCGGCTGTGAACACAACGCGGGAGTTAGATGTCTGTAGAGGGTGGTTAGATGTTGGGTGAAACTCTACATAGGCTTCGACAGAGCTAGGGCAGTGGAAACGAAATAACATGACAAGGGAGAAAGATATAATTATGAGAAACTTACTCCTAACTTTCTATTTGACTGCCTTCAACTACTTCAACTACCTTGTGCCTTGGATACAAGACACAAGATACGCAACTTGTTGAATGAAAATGTTGACCACAGATATTTAAAAACAATCCATCATCTCTGTCTTATTAAGAAGACACCAACATACTTGGGAAAAAAACTGTACCAGTAGGCTTAAAAAATATAGCCAATAATATGTCATTTAAAAAGAATTTATCATAATTTTTAATAAAAAAAAAACTACTAAAATATTAATGAGTATTTTAAGTCAGTATATTATATTTAACTATGGAATGTAAGATGACCAACTATGTATTCATTATAACTATAAATTGTCCAGTGGTAGAAAACTCTACCAAAAATATGTAATGTAGGCCTACAGACTTCTCTATTTTCGCCCCAAGCTGTAAATCAAACATGTGACTGGAATTTCTTCCATTTGTTTTGAATTTCTGTTTATATTTTGTTGTTATTTCTTCACCAGCATAGCAACCCATAAGGCCCATGTAATTTTTTTTTTAATTTAAAATTAATTTTTGCCTTTATTTTTGAGCTTATTTTAATTTATTAAGAGATTCTGCTCATCTACTGGAAAATGTATTTCCAAAAGTACCGGTATGCATAGACTTTTCCCGCAATGCACACTAGCTGAGAAAAAAGATTTTCAAGAAAGATGCTTATTCGACAATATGTCACCTTTTTTATAGCTGTGCTATAACACTATGTATACAAGTTCACTATGTACTATGTACACAACTATGTACATGCACCATGTACATGTTCACTATGTATACAAGTTTTTGTTACGATTAGTTTTATTTTATTTTATTTTTTGATGTTGTAAGCTTTAAATTTACAAACTAAATGTTGATTCTTAGGTGATGTCTACCTGTGTTTAGGGGTGAGCTCACTATCGCTGTCTGCTACGGCACTGCTGGATGTATACAAGTTTTTGTTACAATTAGTTTTATTTTATTTTATTTTTTTATGTTGTAAACTTTAAATTTACAAACTAAATGTTGATTCTTAGGTAATGTCTACCTGTGTTTAGGGGTGAGCTCACTATCGCTGTCTGCTACGGCACTGCTGGATGTATACAAGTTTTTGTTACGATTAGTTTTATTTTATTTTATTTTTTTATGTTGTAAGCTTTAAATTTACAAACTAAATGTTGATTCTTAGGTAATGTCTACCTGTGTTTAGGGGTTAGCTCACTATCGCTGTCTGCTACGGCACTGCTGGACTCTGCACTCTCCGTTTCTTCTCTTGCTCCTGTCACACAACACATACAGGGTCAATACATGGTGACCATATAATAGGGGATAATGTTTTACCCTTGTGCTTGGTAGGGAGGCTTTGGCTTTAAAAACTGAAGTGGAGATACCATTTGAACCAGATGTAGCCAATTTGTCATTTAAATCAAACCTAGTTGAATGAGCCGAACACGGAATGTTTAGATACTTTGATAATTGATGCGATACAAAGTATATTACAGTTTACAGTAAGTTTTGTTTCAGTTGGGTTTGGTTAAGCAGTTGAACGCAACAGAAATCAGTTGACATCAGCCCTGTGTATGTGGCTCAAATCTCAACTATGTCCATTTCCATTCTAAAATTGGTGACATTTTTAACAAAGATATGGGATGTTTACTTCCCTCTAAGGTCGAAAATAGAGAATAATTATTGTGTAGGTTTTACTAGACTGCAAAAAACTATTTCACAACGATTTCAGTCTCGGTATTTGTCTGCTTAGACAATATGTTTGACATTGAGAGTTCTGTAAGGTTTTACATAGTATGCTTAATGATTCAAACAATTCTAAGACACTCTTTCTTTAAATCTTAAAGTGTGGAGTTTCAGATAAATTCTTATGTATGGTGGAAACATTTTAATTTATGCACTTTCTAATGGTTTTGCAAGAATTATATATTTCTGTAAAAAACCATGCATTTTATCGAGCGCTTGTATTAGCCCTGGTATGAGAGAAGTTTTAAGACTTAAGATTAATATAAGTCAGTGTATAAGAGTGTATGTATAAGGAGTAGCATGGAAACTTAGATTTTCTAGCATGTAACATGTTAACTTTGAATAATGTATAAGCATTTTATACCAATTGTGCAGATGGAATACCAGTATAAATACTTATTTAAAAAAAAAATGTGTACGTAAAAAATATATTTTTCATTAGTAACTTAAATAGAGTAAGAAGCAGTGCTATAGAGCATGCGAGCAAAAACAAAATTTGAAGTTTCAACTTAAATCTACATATAAGAACTTGAGAGAATCATGCTTAAAAATACTCTAGCACCGATACCTACAAAAATACCAGCTTGATATGGAAATTAATGAAAATTAAGTTTACATATCTCTCCCTATTGTAACAAAAATGTATTACAATCTGTGATGATTTACACAATTGAGAAGTTTATCATACACTTTTGACAAGCTTTCACCATTTAAATGTGTTTTTTATAGCCATTTTAAAGTATTTGTGTGAAAATATAAATGTATCATAGTTCATTTTTAAATTACCATATTACTATTTCTAAGAATGTGAGAATTTATCAATTCAAACGTTGATAGTAAGCTGTTTCCAAGTTGGTAAAGTATAATTTTTAAGAGTTGTGGTTAGAAAACAGGAACACACTATATAGATTTATAAGAAATTCTTAAATCATTTCCAAACAAATAGACGAAGGAAGCAAAGGAAATATGAAACATAATTATTTCTACAGGTTATCAATGTCCCTACTGCATTAATAAACATAGATCCATTACAAACATCTTTGAAATACTGCAAAGCCTAAAAGCCATTAAGAAATTTTACAGCCTAGCAGCGAGTGCAATGAGTCAGTGAGTCGTTTATCTCACCAGCCTGCATACACGTAGGGTTACATGCCGTCTCTGGTTCATGATCGAAAGTAAAATACGCAGATTCGTCACTTCCTAGAATAAAGAGCAAACCAACCTCATCTGCTTATTGTGCCTTGTTAAACGATATTGGGATATACAAAGTACACATCCTCTGATATATTGGAAAACTCCAAAACCGATAATGTAAAAAGAGTACAGTTTGATGGTGTTATTTATGAACATAATTTGCTCTCAAATTACAAGAGAAATCAGATATGAGGTTAGTTTAGTTAGCATAGTTCGCATAAGAGTTCACATAAGAGTTTGCATAGTTTTATTCAAATGAGAATAAAATTTTTTGTCAAGATTTTAAAAGGAAAAATTATCAATAGCTAGAAAAGATTGATAAAAATTAATTATTCCCATTCTAAACTTTACTTTGACAGAACATACTACACCATGGGGGTTATGAAGGAGTATGAAATAAATGGGAAAACCCTAACAACACTGTGAAAACCTAGATACATACTGTACTTTCATACAAGATTGTAAAGTGTTATACAGATCAACTTTTAATAAGTGAATGGCTTTAGTACAGTAAGTTTTCTTACTGGGTTTGATGATACGTTGTCAATCTATTTACTAAGGAAGGATAACATTAAATTGTGTTTAGTAATTTGTCAAAGAATTAAGAGGATGTATTGAATCAGCATATTATCAAATTATAACAATGAATTGACACGCTCCAACTCCATTCCAAATATAATTGTATTTGAGGTGGCATTACGGATTTACCAACTTAACAGAAGTTAAAGGATAGTGAAAGATGGGAGATCCTCCACATTGTACTAGCCTACCTGATCTCTTTTGCAGTTTATCTCTGTAATGTTGGCTGTTGTAGCCCATGTTGAGGCTGCCACTCCTAGACGCAGGCTGGCAAACCTTCTCTCTACTTCCACCAGGTCTTACTTCCAGCAGTTCTAGAACCTACAAGTCGAAAAACATACAGTAAGATGATTGTGAACTACTGTGGGATAAGCTTAAGTTTTGCGCTGGACTCTGCTATACAATTACCATAAAAAGTGACTGTGTTGTTCTGCAAACTGAGCACTTTAAAACTAAGCAGTTTGGGTTTCTCAGCAAACCAATTAAAAGAATTTTTAAGTGCCACAGTACACTATAAGTCACAGTTATTTACAATCTTTCTAGCAACCCTTATGATGTTAAACTGCAAAAATTGGTAAAATCAACAGTTCCACAGTATCTGTGCTATTTGCGGCCCATTGTTGTTTGCGGACATTTAGAGTCTTCATCAGTGGTAGCCATATTGGATTTTAGTTTTGCCATTTTTCATCCATTCTTCATCCATTTCATTAATAAGTTAATGATCATTAATTAAGCCTTTAATTAAATAATTTACAAAGAAAAGACAGAAACAAATATTTTAATATAATTTCCTCATTTGTATATGTTATAAACCCAATTATAAATTTTCAAAACTATATCTTTGTAAATAACACCGGCATGCTGCTTCAAATGATGGTATGTTCCGTCAAATTTAACATTGCTCTTATGGGACTAAAATCCAATATGGCTACCACTGATGAAGACTCTTAAGTCTAAGTCGAGTCACACATACTGTACCTTATGACCCGTGCATAGCCATGTTTTTTTTTTTAGGAAAAAGTCACATTTCCTCAACAAATTAAATACACTTCCAGGTCATAGTATAGTATGATGTAGAATGTACACAAGAGAATGAAAAGAAAATATTAAACTAAACTATACCTATGTCTCTGTTTTAATTTTTGTTTTTTTTCCCTGATTATCTGTCTTATAACTGACTTCCACTTTAAGAAATAGTACCCATTAAACCAAGTGGGACTCAAGACTAGAGTACATCTAGACTTGATAACGTTCGCCCCTTGTACCTTAGTGTGGTTGCTGTTTGCATCCTTGAGGTAGTGTTGTCTCCAGCTGACCTCGGAGTCACTCAGCGCCCCCGAGTCACAGTCAGGACGAGACAGCAGACGACGCATAACACGAGGGTCGTCACTCAGGGCTAGTGAAGGTGACTCTGGAGGTGACACGTCCACACACCCTAGCTCCTTCATCCTCTGCTGCATAGACACTACATCCAGCACCTGGACAAACAGTCATGGGTATCATGATCAAAGGTTTGAAAATAAAAAGTCAGGAGACTATTCGAACAAAATTAGTCTAAGTTAGATAAACCATAGAGAGATCAGTTTGGTTTCTTGTTCTCTTATGCCCAGAGCCACTTACTAAAGTTTCGCTGCTACTAGGTCATGTTTTCTGGAAGATCAAGAATGGGTAAATCTAACAATTAGCCGTTTAAACCTGTTATAAACAATATTATAATACCTCTGATTAAAATTTTTTTTCTTGGAAATGTTAAGACTATCAGTGGACTTTGATTTTATCCATTATATTTCTTCAATAGAAGGAAATATGTCTGTATTGTAAGAAATGATCCATTTTCTTAAATACCGGCAAAAGGAAGAAAACTACTAATCTAGAGATTAAATACCTTGTTGCCAACATAATCCTTGGTAGCCTTAATGGCTACCAGTTTCAGCACACTAATGCTGTCATTGCCAGCCTAGACGTAGTTGTTGCTCCCATGAGGTCGTCAGAAAGTCCTCAAAATACATATACGAGACAAATAAATAACAACACACAAGCAAACATTTTTATGAATGAATAATAATATTGTATGGCCTACACCCTGAACCCTTATCTGCGCCGAGAGTTTTATGGCCAATGGCCATACAGATAACTTGTTCGTAAACATGTTTGTGTAAACTAGTGTTCGTTACTTATTTGTCTCGTATTGTGTTTTCAGGACTTTCTGTATAGGCTTGACAATGAACCCATAAGTCTATCGAAACCTTTAGCCATTAAGACTACCAATGATTAAGTTGGCAACAAGGTATTTAACCACTAGATTAGTAATTGTTAAGTGATCCAGAAGGCAACACCCCAGACATGAAGGAAGAAAACTATTAGAATGAGAAGGGTCCCCTCAGATGTGTTACACAATGTTTCTCTATCGATAGAGAACCTTTTTCTCCTATATTTAATTTTGAGTCCATAAAACTCCCTAAAAATAAATCCTAATGTAATTGAAACATCAAACTTATTTCGGTAGAATACAGTATAATTATCATACCTGCGGACCAGATATTATGACACCTTCCCGATGCTGCCTTTTCCGTCTCCGAGACTTCAAGCTCTCGACTCTCCGTAGGAACGCTTTGGCTCCGTCCCGTAGTCGCTCACTGCCAGAACGTCTGAAACGAGCAGCAAGGAGCTCACTGTCCGTAGTGATTGCTCCCGGAGGTAGGCTGCCGTAGCGGATCACTACTTGGTCACTAGGAGAAGCTTGCTGTTGGGAGACTGTGAAGCAAAGAGACGTAGATAGAAATAGTATCATACACTACATATTCTATTGACATGCGTACACTTATATATTGATGAAGATAATAATGTATAGCACTGACATAAAAAATCATAGATTTATTTCATGAAATATTTAATTTTGTGCTGTTAGCTTCTCCAGATTAAGTACTCAGATTCGGTTGCTTCTGAGAATTCAAGTGGTTTTAATAGTTAACAACAGTTGGCTGGTTAAGTGCCCTGAACATTCCCCAACTTGAACACTGATAAGTCCTGGCTTTGACATCCACTCAAACTAAAGGAGAACTAAGAGCAAAGCGTTTAAAATTTGGACCCTAAGACGAAGACTGTATTATGATGAGCGTTTTACAGCTGATGCAGATCTAATTAACTTTTAACAATTTTTTATAGACATTAAACTAATTTTGGACTTTGAAATGTATTTTTCTAATAAACTTTATTGTATTCCATCATAAGACTTAGTGGCACAGATGAACTTCAAAATCGGGATTGATATTTCTATTTTGTAGTTGTAGCCTAACTGTATAAAAATAATTTGAAAAACACTTCAGATATAAAAAGAGGTATTCTACTGTAATTTTCTTTAGAATACTGGTCATCTTTTGACTACAAAGAATTAATGACACCTACTAAATGATCATAATTTGACACATAGGCAGACCATAGGAAAGAAATGCCACACTTTCCCTCAAAGATAATAATCTATATATAAATATTAATACACAAGCATGTTTCTTTAAAAACTTTTTTTCAGATCCTGTTCATCGCAGGGAAAATGTCTCATATTTCTCACACATAATATAATATCTCACAGCATAATGTAATTTATAAAGAATAATTGGATCCCAGGTTTGATATTCCCTCACCATTAGGATTGAGCAATCTCTGAGCGGCCACATCACACACCCTGGACCACCGCCGAGACTCTGGCTGGAACGTCCAGTTCTCACTGAGTGCACACTGGTCCTCCTCATCTGAGTCGTCCACCTGAGACGGAAAAAATCATTGTTTAAACTGATCCAAAAATGTTACGTCTCTAAAACCTTCTAAAACTACACTTGCCGCACTAGTTGGCACACTGGCTGACTAGGAAACATCGCTAACGCTGAGTAGAGAAAACACTGTGGAAACGACTAACAATTTTCCCGCAGGCAAATTAAGGGTAACAAGGTTTTTAACCCTGTTTTACTGTCATATACCAGAGTTCTTAATCCGTACAAAAATGATGTGAGTTATGGAAATGAAAAGAAGCTAAGAGCAGTCCCTCAAACATTGACTACAACTATTAGAGAGAAGAGATCAGCTATCAAATCATTTACACCCAATTTGTAATATTAAAAAGAAAACTAAAAAGTAAATTGGGGTTGTATAACGGTTTTAAATTGATAAGAATTTGACAGTCATACAAAGGATATGAAATTGAAGATGAGAACAAAAAAGTGGTACAGTAGGAAAAAATTAGCAGCAAGTCGCCCCTAGGCGGCAAACATCTAAATCAAGTTAGTGACAAAAACTAATAACAGTGCTACAGTTGTGATTTGCTAGGTTGGTTGTTAGCCGGAATCAGTGAATTAGAACACCAGAAGTTCTCCTGTCAGTTGGTGAAGTGGGCAGACTGAGGTAGTGTTGGTTGTACTCGGAACTGATTATAATGTATGAGGCAGATAATGGATTACTACAGTCTACTGAGAAGGATTGGGTGGTGTAAGTGGTTCAAGGTATGTTGTATACATTATTGTAAACACACCTGGAAAGAATCACTTGGTGTAAATTACCAATGGTAACATCTACGTGTGCTGTAAATCATTGGATTAAGAGTTTCCTGACATCGATCAATTCTTTAAGATAGCGATGTACAAAAATTATGTACACATTTGGAGCTTAATGAATGCAAGGGGAGTGTAGAATGGAGTGACTTGCAGCTTTGTTACTGACAAATAATTATGAGCTGTTTTGTTGGTCTGGGCCATTTAACATCGGAAACTTTGGTTGCTGAAATGCAAATCCTTATGCTAATGATATAAAAAAACTAATAGTGTATGGCTAAAAAAAATTAAACCAAAACTTTATTTTGAGGGAAAATACTTTTTATATCTGAATCTATATATAAAGCCCGAAGTACCCATGAACTTTTGAGAAAACTACAAGTCGCACCCCCATAAACCATTTACTTAAAATGTTCGTCATGACGAGAAACCTTGCGCAAAATCCATTATCCATTATTCCATAAATTGCCCTTTAAGGCCTTAACTCCTTTCTAAAGGGAACTTTCCATATAACTAATGTTAAAAATACTTCAGCTGTACTTATTTGTTTGTATTACTGTATTCTGTTTTGTTTACTTCAGCTTAACTTAACCAATCAATAATTTTATTGATACTCATGAAGTCAAACGGGTAACAGCTAGTTTATGATAAAAGTGAGATTCCATTGCTTGATTTCAATAAGTTTTCATTATTCATGTGCACATTTTCAACCTTTTTTTGGAATTTCCAAGGTCTTACATTTTTAGCAATATATTATCAATTCCTTTCCTGCAGTATAACAGGCGTAATTTAATCAACAAGTGCATATTTCAGGAAGTAACTTAGTCTAGTGGGGCGAGTGCAGCTGATAGGTTCAAGTATCTGACCCAACTTCTATTCTGAGCCAGTTTATATTGGATTGGTTTAGTCCGAGAATAGTCTGATGTTTAAAAGTTAAAAATGAAATAAACGATAAGTTTGATTTAAATATCCGAGTAGTACACAGTATATTTAAACATTTAAAAATTTAAATAACTGTTATACATTAAGAAATTTTATAATGAAACTAAATCCTTAATAGAGTTGTATTATATGAATGTTAATTACCGCACACAAAAAAGTGTAGACTATTCAGATTCAGATTCAGATTCAGAAACACTTTATTCAAGATTTACATTTTACAAATATAAATGCAGAATGGCGTCAATAAATACAATTAATTCTATAAAATATTATCAAAATGCTCACTAAATGAATAGTAACATTTGCTTAATATAAATATTTTCAATTTCTTTTTAAATGTCTTAATATTATTAATTTCCATTAAATCTTTAGGCAGAGCATAAAAAAACCTAGTACCTGCAGCAGTGGGTTTTTTATTATAAAACTCTAAATTATGCCTCTGGATGGCTGGGTAGTTCCGATGCCGAGTATTATAATTATGTGACATTCCCAATTTTGGAAGTGTATGTGTGTTCATTTCACTTTTTAGATTAATTATAGTTTTATAAATATATAATCCATACACTGTAAAGATATTTAATTTAGCAAAATACTGTTTTGCCGATTGGTTTTCTCCCAAGTTTAACATGATACGTATGGCTCTCTTTTGTAAAATTAATTCATTGTATAACCAGCAGGAGTGTGACTTTGATATAAGAACACAAGTTTTGTAATGATAGCTCAAATATTGTCCAGTTACATAAAAAATGCAATTAAAGTATAAGAAATATCCATCTGGTTTAATTTACGTCCAAATAAAGAGTTTTAAATGTTATTTCATAAAAAAAATAATCGTCAGTTGGTTTGTTGAGCCTAAACCCTATTTATTTCTTACTTCAAAAACCTATCCAAATGTCCAATTAACAGAATCATTCAACATTAATGATAAACTTCGGCAAACTTTGCAAAGTTTTTCCCCTCTCGCGTGTATTTCCTTCCGCACATTGGTCATTCGGGAGCGGACTGCGGAAGCGTTTTTGGCGGCAACGGTGCGTGAAAGCGCGGGAGCGGCGTGCTGATGGCGGGTCAAGGGTTAGCCGGCTGCCGAGAGATGAATATTAACATTCACTTGCCTTCCAAATATCAACAAGTCTTCTACTCTCACTTGTACAATCGTGTGGTTTCCTCTTCAAGACATGTCATACATTTGTATACGTGGACATTGAAAAAATAGGTACTTTCCTGTTAAAGGGAACATTCATTATTATCGATGATTTTTTTCTCGATATATCGATATTAACAAATTGAAACATATCAGCTGACAACTACGAAAAATATTGTTCAGTATCAACAAACATTAATGAAATGAAACTGTTCTAAAAAAATAACCTAACATAACTAACCAAACTTGCTGTAACATTGAAAAATCCCGTGTTTATAACTTGCCTTTTATATTCAAACCCAAACGAATTTTTTTAAATGGTACAGCAAGTTTGGTTGGTTATGTTAGGTTAGCTTAGAACAGTTTCATTTCTTAATCCATATAACAGACTATATCGATATATCGAGAAAAAAATCATCGATAATAATGAATGTTCCCTTTAACAGGAAAGTACCAAAAAGTACTAGGTAGCCAAGGACTATTTTAACAGTATGCAATGGTAAATTATGTATACTTATATTGTGCCCTTCGAAACAAAAAATTCTAAAAACGGATTTTGGTTTGTGATTAATCTGAAATCCCACAAGTGTTCTATTCCGATCTGTACACAGCAGACGATTCTGTGTATCTTCTTTCTGCTTTGTATATTTTTGTAAAAGTTGGCGTATTCTTTTAGACTTGAATTTGATCATTCACATCGGTCTAAATGCTTGTGCGTAAAGTATCAAGCAAAACCACGGGTGAGCTGAGCAGCTGGCATAACACAAGGACAAATTGTCAGTACAGAATCATTCTCGAAGGCCACGAAGGTCATACAATAAGGACATTCTTCACCCAAGATACGACTATTCTTCTGTATACTTGAACACATATTATATCATTAGTGACGTGGCTAAAACCTTGAGTGTAAATCTTTAACTAATCCTAAATCAATACAATATGAAAGGCAATTAAAACCTCTAATGACTTTCTTTATAAGGCGCCGCTTTCGCATCTCTCGCAACACAAATGGAGTCTACAAATGGCCATCTGCAAGGTAATCTCATTAGAGCTAAATTAGAGGTGATTACATTACAAGTGTGAGTGATTTACATGACGGTGATTAGAAGACATCACCGTGTGTGAGACAGAGACAGAGAGACACCGTGTGTAGGTGTGTTGCACGCTAGAGTGCGTGTGTGATCACAGAAAACATACTACTATAACCCAGATACACGAGATCTGTGTGAGGGAATTATAGAGCTTCCGACATTAGTTTTAATTTATATATAAAGTAAAACCAGTTGATAAGCTCCAAATAGTATGTCGTTCACCGTGAGGTTACTAGTCATTTCTGTTATTCATTCCAGAGCTATTCAACCTTACTATCAATCTTCTACTTACTGTATATATTGGCAGTGTTGTTTTGACAATATCCACAATGCTACTTATCATACTTTACATTGGACAGGTTGGTAGCGTTTCCATAATTCATTTGAGTTAACAATGTTTTGAGGACAAACTTTACATCGCAGCATTGTCGTAGTTTTCTGTTTGCGAACATCTATCTATATATTAATAGGCAAGCATGTTTCTTTAAAACCTTTTTTCTAAGCTTGAGTGCATAGTGGGGTAAATCTGTGCATACCGTTAGAAAGCAATTTCCCTGTAGGTGTGCAGAATCCCTTTATAAATTTAAATAGGCTCAAAGATAAGCACAAAAAATGAGTTTAAAAATTTGAAAAAATTAACATGGATCTTATGCGTTGCCATGCTGGTGACGAAATAACAACGAAATATTAACAGAAAATCAAAACAAATGGAAGAAACTCCAATCACATGTTTTATTTACAGCGTGGGGTGAAAATAGAAAAGTGAGTACATTACATATTTTTGGTCGAGTTTCGACCACTGGACGACCTCTCGTTTGTTTCATTCTGCGAATCTTTATTACTGGACGTCTTTGTTAAAAAGGTTACAGCACAATGATAATCAATTGTGGTTTTAATCGATTGAGAGCTTTTGGTTGGGCACTGGTTGAACTGGAATGTATTTCGAAATAGTTTGGTTTCTCAGTTTAAGAAATATCTTAAAATTTGTGGAACTTGTTAGTTTTAGACACGTCTTAGGTTCCAATTTTAAAATATGATAGGACCTAAAAATACTGCTTCTATGAACTTTTCATAATCCAGATCTGTCAAACATGTCTTAGAGAATCTATACAACAGTAATATTAGAATCATATCATTATCCAGGCCAAAGTTTAGAGCACACACTGTACTCAAGGGAGTAGGGACCGATCAAAACGTAACTTCAACTCATTCTAACTCTCTCGCCCCTTTACATCTTCAGTTTAGTCACAAATGCACACAGTTTTTCTCTGAAACACTTATCCGATTATCAGTGTAACGGCTTGTTGGTGTGTGTGTGCGTGAGTGTGTGCGTATCTAGGCCGGCAAGGAGTGCCCAGCGCCGCCAGTACCGGTCCCATTAGCAATTATGAGCATTGTTTAATTAGCCCGCAACATATGGCCATCTGACGTCTGCTCAGACTCTGCAGCGCGGCAGTTCGCGGAACACTCTGTACATGAATCCCACACAAACTGCAAGACAGATTGGGCAGTTCATCACAATCTTCTGAGAACTGCCAGGAGGATGGTTTTATCTGAATCGTCAAACAAGGATGCACATTTTACCACGGTTGGTGGAAGCAGAGAACCACTCATTTTGTGGTGAAGAAAATGGGCGTTTTATTTGCTGTGTTACCATATCTTTGAGAGTACATTACAGCAAACACATCACAACATTACAGCAAAAAAGTAATGGTTACCGAAGTAGTTCCAGCCTACACCCCTATATTGTAATGTGCTAGGGGGATGAATGGTGGTTGGTGTTAATCAAGCCTTCTAATTGGTGGGGCACTTTTCATGGAAAATCTTTTAACCGTTAATTTGCTCCTCACTCCTTTCGAACGTCTTCCGTTCGTTGGAATTTATTCTAAACCTCTAAAATGTTCCTACTCATTTTAAATACTATAACTGTGTGGACACCATTAATAATTAATGGTGCTTATGATGCTTATAATTAATAATTTCCTATGCTTGTCTGTGTATTATTAAAATTAATTTTAATTTTAATAATACACAGACAAGCATAGGAATAATGCATATTTAATTCTTTGGTCTGCAATATTACGTGTAAGCTTTAGCTTTTGGAAAACCTCCTTTACTCAACGAGACAAACCCAAGTTGTTAAACAATTATTACAGTTTCGTAGCAGTAGTACAAGCACTTCTCTCGATGTTCCATATTTCTGATATTCACTAATCATTTATTATGCCTACGTTATAGTGGAATTGTGTTGCTCGTTTCGTATTTCGCGAATGGAAAACATTAACAACAAACCCACGCTGTCTGTCGAAACTGAGCTGACACATAGACACACGCTATTGATAAGCAAAGGTGTTCAAGGCTCTCTCGCTAACGACTTGATTAATGATTCTCAACCTCAACCCAATGGACTAATGATTCGCATTATGTTATGAGTGGTTTCCACTTTCAGTTTTGGTAGTTCAAACAAGTTTCCACAAAACTTTTATATCATGTAACATGGATTTTATTCGGGGTTTCACTAAAGCAGATCAATTTATTTACCCAAGTAAAAAAGAGATTATTATACACAAGTGAAGCAATTGATTAGTTAACTCATCTAAAGGTATTCTTTACTGCGTCTGTGTTTACAACTAGAGACACAGTAATAATCGATTTATTTTAGGTTATCACTTTATAACGACGCCAATTAAGCTTAAACATCTTCAATTTATTTGCGAAAATATCATAACCTTGTATCACATATAATAGCAGAGTTCCTTTTCTATGCTAAACCCGATCAAAAACAACCGTAATATCATACTTTTGCATCACACTGCTGGAACTATAGAAAAAAAGTATCTTAATTAGTCAAAAATGACAATATAACAATACGAGCAGGATAACACGAGTACCGGTGTTATCAGTTCCGGTGCCGAGCCCCGGTGGCCCGTGGCGTGGGTAGGCGGGTAGGTGCCGTGTGCCGTGTTGTCCGCGTGGTGTGAGTTATCCACCTTGGATGTTTCCGCGAAGTGTTTGCAGGTGTCAATGTCTGTCACACGAGTCACCACCTCGCCACACACATACACTGACTGTGGCTGGCCCGACGCCAACACACAGGACAGGTTGTGTTTAAATCTACAGTCTACAGGTGGTGATTCTACAGCAAATGCGAGATATTTCGGCACCTGTGGGGTACAACTATACTAAAATATAGGTTATGGGATAAAAACCAGATTTTCTACACCGAATTGTGGAAACCACTTTAAAAATAAGAAGGTTCGACCCTGAAAAAGTAAGTGGATTTTTTACAGTTCAAAACTGACCTAGCAGTTCGGCATTTCTCAGCTGTATCACTTTTGTTCCGGAGGTCAGCAGGTAGATTTCGGGACCTGCCGAAACACTGCTTTTGTTCCGCGGACATCTCTCTTGTTCCGCGAGAAAAGGGGCTGTATTCTCCCTCCTACAAATCCTTTCTTTCACCCATCCTCCTCCTAATTCTTTCTTTCATGCGGTCTTAAAAAACTTGTTAAATTACAAGAATATCAATAATTTAAATAATTTAACCTAGCTTAACCTATAAAAGAAAGAATTAGGAGGAGAACGAAAGAGAGGATTTGGGGGAGGGAGAGTAAACCCCCTCTCTCTCGCGAAATAAGAAATATGTCCGCGGATCAAAAGAAATGTTTCGCCCGGCCCCGAAATCCACCTGCTGACACCCGGAACAAAAGTGATGTGAAGAAAAAAGCCTTCAATCGTAGAACAAAAGCGACATAAGCCATTTCTAAAGCAAATGACAATGAGAACCAAGGTACATACATGATACTAGTTTAATGACATCTACAATTGTAATGCCCTTGCTAGGTGCTCGTGACGTACGTTTTTAAAAATCGACAAAGTAATTTCGCAGCCCCACGTGTTATTATTCCTTATTGCAAATGATATTGAACACAAATTAAAATCTGTATAGCTAGAAAGAATGTGAATTTTAAAAAATCTTTCATTCACACATCAAATGTGCGTAGTCCATCACTACACACAGAAAAATTGTTCATCGTAGAGCTTATAACAAACTAATATTTCTTTATCTTCAACAACCACACTGACGAAGCACGGAAAAATAGCTTCCTGACAACATGAAACTTAACTGGCTAGTTAAACCAAAAATAGACCTCCCAAAGGTGGTAATTATTGGTGAAACTTGGTGAGATTTTAAAATAAGGATAGATTACTTGGTTAAAAACCTCATTTTAAACCGGTAACTGCGCCTAAACACACGTGTCGGACTGCAATGGGGAGTAATTAATTCGTTAATTACTAAAGAAACGGCTTATTAGTCCCCATCTGAGTTTAACGTGGAACGTAGTGCATGCATTAATTAGTCTAGAACGTTCTCAGATTTACGTGAATGGAGAAAACGCTAGGGCTACATGTTAAAAAGATCCGGGACGTTCACTCCTTTCATCTATGGTTATACGTAAGAACGTGGAACACCATAGCTCAGCTTTGACCAATGACAAGTTCTGATACAGACAATTAGATATAATTATTGGAAGTAGGGACCAAAATGTTTATTAGTTTAATTTTTCTTAAATTAGTTTTATCTGTGGTCCAATACAAAAGTATAAACACAACCAAAGTGCAACATTTTTGAACTCGTGACCATAGACATTTACGTTGTATAGGTCCAATGTTTTAAAACTGGACCAAACCGGCCTTAACCACTGGGATTTTAATAAAATGACCCTAACTCAAGAAACAGCTGATTTATCAGTAACAATGCTGCACATATCATCCACTCCAGTTCACGTTCACACCAACCCTTCATTCGCATTTAGCCTGGAGACTTGATAAATTGATTAAAGGTTCAATCACTAAAACTTGTAAGTGAATAGCATATGAGTAAATACACATCCCAGTGAGGTTTCGGTGAAAATATCTCACCACGTCAGGGCCACATACCGTGCTCTTGGGTACGTTGTCCACCTTCATGTTGGCGCAGCGGTTGAGCGTATGCAGTCTGCGAAACAGCGACTGTAGCGAGTCAGGCTCCAGGAAGGGATGGTCCTTCTGGACTCCGCTCACGTCGATGGGGAACTGCAGGTCTGAAACAGGGCAAAGTTCATCTATTAGCGACCAACCTCACATATCCCATGGGGAAGATCTCAAAATCAGATTGAACCACTCACAAGATCGTTTCCGGTAACTTAGATGATCAGAATGACGAATGACGCAATAAACTCCGGCCCTCACGACAAAGGGAACTGCACAAATTGAATCCCCGGAGAAATTGAATGGAGGATCTGAATGACCATTGTGTATTCTGCGAGTCGTGATCGGGCGCCGTATAAGGCAGCGGCCTCGCGGGTTTCACCGTATATCAGATCAGCAATTCAACTGTTCCCGAGAAATTCGGGTTCTCGTTAGCGGCTGGACGTCCCAGGGAGAACGGGTCGCCTTCTGAGGGCAAACCCGGGTGACACACATTGGAGCTGTCAGGGAGATGGGTTCCTAAGAAACATTGTTTTACCGCATAGAATTCGGTAGATGGATTTCTCTGGAATACAGCAAAGACTCATCGCCTCAGAGAACTTGAGTTTTTAGGCCTACAAAACCAAGTACGGATCACTGGGTCTCGCCATTCATGGAATACGACTAAATCCGTAGCTTATAATGACATAGTTACCAGGCTGCAAAAGGAAGGTTTAGTATGTATACATGTTACAGTCTTATATTTATTTGTAAACGAAAGGTACAAAAAATTCGTACCTTGTATCAAATCATTGACACATTTGAACCTCGAGTGTGACAACACAGATTGTCTGATTGGTCGCATCAAAGTTTGATGTTTTGTTTGCAGCTGACGGCCAAACATCGGTCTAGACACAGGTGGGTCTGACAAAACAAACGTCCTAAAGCTAGGCGCCCACCGGGCAACTCAGCGGGTGACGCGGCGCGGCGCGGCACGGCGCGACGCGGAGAAAAACTTCCGTCCGCTTCTCCAGGGTTCGCGCCCACCAAGCAACTCAAGCGGAAGCGCGGGGCAGCGCTGAGAATTATTCTTTTGGAGGGGATGCACAGTGCACTTCGATTCGGACCCGAACACTCCCGAAGGGCTCACGATACTTTCCGAAAACACCCGAATGAGCGGCAGACGAGGGGCAGACGCCGTTTCCGTGCCTCTACCCCGCGCCCACCAGGCAACTCAACGGAGGCGCCGCAACACGAGAGGAAGAAATTCTCCACCGAATTCTCACTGCCGGATTCGAGAAGAAGTTTTTTTTCCGCGCCGCGTTGCGCCACCCGCTGGGTTGCTAGGTGGGCGTCAGTCCATAAGATAACATGGCACGGATACGTGGCAACTTTTTTCCACGGCGTCGCGCCGCGCCGCGCCGCGCCGCGTCACCCGCTGAGTTGCCCGGTGGGCGCCTAGCTTTAAACATTAGATTTACGACTCGCGCATATGCTCGTGAGTTGTGAGTTTACCAACTGGCACGTTGGGATGTTTAAATACTTAAGTTCTGTGTTGTATGTATGTTTCTTGTATGATATTGTGCGTATAAAACTAATATAAACTGTATTGATAGTCAGCATTTTTGTTTGTTTCAAGGTCTGTATGAGATATCACATAGTAATTGCTAAGTACTCCAGTGAAGTCTGTACATCAGTTAAACTTTACCAATACAAAATTTCACGATTTATCTTTAACCGGCTTCACAGATATTATAGGCCTAACTTTAGAACCGTAGTATAGTATTATTGTTAAAATGATTAATATGTTAGTACGACAGTCAAATTGGATATGTGTCCTTTAAAACCTTTACAAATCAGTTTTAAAACTCAAAAGGGAAGTTTACGTTTGGGTAAATTTACCAAACATTGTTTCCCTAGTTTATAATATAAAATATATTACAAATACTGACATCACCATCAATGGTGAAAAAGCTTAGGCGTATTTTAAACCAAGTACTTAAGGAAGATGCGCGAAGAATGGATAAGATACCTCATTGTTACAAACAATAACAAATACCGTGTCGAAACTGTCCAAATCAGTATTCTAGCATAGAATATTTCCATTATGTTGTGTTGGTTGTAATATTATTTATGATGCGATAAACAAAACGTATAAATTTTGTCCTGCGATCGCGTGAGCGTAAATCACTGTTGACCGCGCGAAACTCCGTTTTGGGGAACCCGAGATTTCGCCTTTTTAACGTGATATATAGGGACATAAGGGGGCCAATCTGCACTTGTAAAAGGCAGGAGCGAGGGAATTTCAACCTTAATGACATCGGCCTTGGCGAGCTGTACACTTACCGCTGAAATTAGCGCTTAATCGATTCAGAACTTTTATGGAGATCTTTTCGACCAAACCAGTTGTTAGACTGTTATTAAGCTATACGCGATGTAACACCTCGGATTCCGAACACTAACACGTAGGCGGGGCGTTTTAATCAAATTTTACATTGGCGGAAGTAATAATGGTGTTTGGATTGCCGAAATTGCCACATTACTTACTTTCTACCGTGTACGCATCACAGTAGCTAGCCGAAACTGCCTACTTTCTAGCCTAACTGCGGAGAAAGTGACAAGTTTACATTTGGTGTTTACGTCTGTAAATTGTGTTTGACAATGTTGTAGAGTGGAAACTGATTAGCTACAATTTTTAACTTGGGATAGGAATAATTTTAAACTTTTGTTGGTGATCAACGATTTAAATGTGTATTCTGGTTAAGAAGGTAGTTCTGATAAGTGTAAGTCTAACTTTATGCGAACAGTAATGGAGAAAATAATGGAATATCCATTTCCATTTCATATCCTCACAAAATGGAAAGTGTTACCTAAGCCACAGACAAATTGCACGAATCAGAATCAGTAGCGTGTATCTGTATAATTAAGTAATGGCAATTTATTTTAGTTTTATTCCGGGGTAAATGTGTGAAAATTTTAATATGTATTTGGTTTTAAATGTGGTTTTTACAACTGTTAGTTTAATGTAAGCAGTAAGTTTACAAACATGTTTGGTTTACCAAACAAGTAAGAGTATGTAAAATGTTTGCTCTTCCCCGTAAATTTATTGTCGTAGAATTTGTTATGTTAAGGTTACCGTAGCAATTACAGTAAAATGACACACCAGTATTCAGAGAAAACTCATTAATGTTAAAAGACTGTGACTATTCGAAGAAGAGTCACCCCCCATTGTATATTACTGTATTTAGTTTCATCATATAAATAATTGAAATAACCTCACTAAAATAAATTGAGAGAGAAACCTATTAATTTCTTATGCTTTAATTTCTTAACACGTACACAAATCTTTCAAACAAAAATAATTGAGTGGTCATACACTTACATACTAAACTTACAAAATCAAATACTCAAACAGGTTCAAACTATTCTGGTAAGAGTTTCAAGTTCTCAATTTCGCCCTAGTTCCGAGTGCGGCTTTAAAACGTCCGCTATTAAAGAGTTAAGCGGTTTCCAATGGCCGGAATCCCTGCTGAGATTACCGGCATAAATTACATTATCGACGTTGAGCTTTCAATATGATCCAGCGGAATCACTGATTGTTTGACAGTCCGGTCAAAATAGATTTAAATAACCAATCTGTTCGGATTTGGATTTAATTTACTAATGGAAAAACAAACAGGTTGTCAAAATATGTGAGAGTGGTTTCTGTTTAAAGTGTGATATTCACCATGAAAATTATCGTGAAAATACGTTCAGTGCTATTTTTAATGTGAAATTTGCAAAAGAGTGAAAAATACCGTAAATCTGCGCGGCTTTGTTGGATATTTAGCTCTTAATTCTGTAAAAAATTGACTAACGAGATTTTTATTGCTTTTGAGTTAGGTTTGCGATTCATTATTGGGAAAGCGTATGGCGTCAGTTTGTAGTTTATGAAGCAATTTAAAAGTTTTTGACACAACCGTTTGGCGATATTACGCTATAATCTTTGCAGCTGTAGAGGATTACTAGTGCATAAAACGACCGATAGTTCAGTGCACTCTCGGTAAACACGTAATGTCATAAAAGATTATAAATAAACCGATCTTTCTCTGATTATGATATTAAATTTCTGTTAACACAAGGTTGTTAGTTAAAAACTCACAGTAGACTACTTAGGTTGTTCCTTGAGGCCTTTATAGTTGATGATATTGTCAAATCGCAATCATTAATCCGATATTAAACAAATAACAAATTAAAATTGGCGTTAAAAGGTAAATGTATAATGGGTTTTATTTACCAGGAATTTTTTTTTATTATATCTTCAGTATAAACTGATATTGCCAATGCATATAATGTTACTTTTGACCAAGAAAATCCCTTGTGACTTGTAATAATAGTAAAAAGTTTTACGGTTTCAACAATGAAACTATTGCGCAGGGTTTACTTTACATGAACAGTTAATTATTTACACTACTGCGAGGTTTCCAAATTATTTCATTTCACATATTTATGTAACTGATCGATTGCAGCGCTCGCCTGGCAACCATAGAGCTGCCAATTTTACCTCAGATTAGGTCAGTAATCCTACTAATATTATAAATCATTTATATGTTAAAACTAATTGATCCAGGTTGACCATTGGGCTTTTAATAAACAGTCCTGACTGAAGAGACAGCTGATCTAGGTCTGCAACAAAGCTGCAGATAAAATATCACTCACACCACAAATATATTTATATTTGTATATTTATATTGGTACTAGCTGTACCCACGGGCTTTGCCCCGTTTTACTTCATAAGTGAGCTCGTTCGCATGGCTCAATCACGTCCTGGTTGAAGTTCGTTCGCGACGCTCACTCACCTTTAGGTTGGAGCTCGTTCGCTGCGCTCACTTGCCTTCAGGTTAGCTCGTTTGCTACGCTAACTCGCCTCCAGGTTGAAGTTCGTTCGCTACGCTCACTCACCTTTTGGTTGCAAATTAGCTGTAGTCATAAATTAAAAAAAAAAATAGTGCTGCACCCTGTTGGTAATCCTTGTAACTTAAATGCTATTGCACATCATAGAACAGAACCAACTTGTTTAATTGAAACAGCTGTTAATATTCATTAATTCCATTTAAATATGAGTACTCATAAGGTTAACATGGGAAACTCCAGA